ATTTTCATGCCTCTCTTTACAGTCTGCATGAGATGTTGATAAAATTATTCCCATTCCTCACCTGTTTTCACCCGTGTTACTCATGGTTAATAGTTGCGACTCCACTTTCTCTGCTCCCAAGTTGGATGAGGTAGAAAGACTTACACAAGGTGAAAAGAGATGCCTTAAAAAACCTGACTTCTCTGAGTATAGTAGAAGGAGATTATATTATTTCCTTAAATTAGAAAAATAAACAGAAAGCAATACATGTCAAAGATCAAACAGGCAAGGAATAATCTGCTGCTGCAATTACTACCATCAGGGATTGGATCAGTTGATACTTTCTAAATACAGTTTGACATCTCATAAAAATTACAGCTAAACCAACAGAAACTAATTTCTGTTTTTCACAGGTGTCTATCAGGTTATAAACACACCTAACTTATTGGTTGTAATAAATGCATAATGGAAGGATATMGTTTAATATAAGCCATAGACCTTCTGAATCACCTGTGAAAATAAACTGAAATGGAGTATTTCTGTCTGTCAGTAACWGTCCTGAAACATTTTGTGGCTTTTGAAAAATTAGATTTTTAGTGCCCTTTGACTGAAGTATTTTTTTCCTTCCATTATGATCCAGATGAGAATGGTCTGTCCAGTTATAGAAGCATTTCTCCAGACTATTTAAGGGTAGATCTGAGTCATTCAATTGACCTAAACAGCATTGGATAGAACCAAAAATTGCTTTTTCTTGATTTACTGAGATCACAGAACCACAGAATCATTTAGTTTGGAAAAGAACTTTAAGATCATCAAGTCCAATGGCTAACCCAGGCTGTCAAATTACTTTTCTCAGTGATTTTAATTGTTTGGTTGTTTTTCTATTTTTCATTTAAATAAATTATAGGCATCTATTTCAATGTCTTGGTGCCACTCACAGATTTTTTTTAAAGTCCTTGAAAAAGATTCTGATATAATTTCATTTTGCCATGTACATGGTGCAGTAATCATAGAAACATTGAAGTTGGAAAAGACCTACAGGACCATCAACTCCTGCCTTTGACCAAACACCACCATATCACTAAACAACAGTACCAAGTGTCATGTCCAGTCATTTCCTGAACACTTCCAGGGACAGTGACTCCATCACTTCCCTAGGAAGCCCATTCCAGTGCTTTACCATCCTTTTTTTTTAATTAATAAAATCTTCATGATGTTCAGTCTGAACCTCCCCTAGCTTGAGGCCATTTCCTCTCATTCTGTCACTGGTAGAAGTTGCCTGGGAGAAGAAAATGACCCCCACCTGGCTACACCCTCCTTTCAGGGAATTGTGGAGAGTGATAAGGTCTCCCCTGAGCCTCCTTTTCTCMAGGTTAAACAYCCCCCAKTTTCCCCAGTYGSTCTCACAGGACTTGTGCTCCAGACCCTTCACCAGCCCCACTGCCCTTCTCTGGACACACTTCAACACCTCRATGTGCTTCTTGCAGTGAGTGGTYCAGAAATGGACAYAGGACTCAAGGTGTGGCTTCATCGGTGTCAAGTACAGGGAYAATYCCTGCCCTGTTCYTGCTGGCCACACTGKTGCTGATACMGGCCAGGATGCCATTGGCCTTCTTGGCCACCTGGGCACRCTGACAGCTCRTGTTCTGCTGTCAACCAGCACCCCCATATTCTTCTCTGCTTGGCTGCTTTCCAGCCACTCTTYCCCAGCCTGTAGCACTCCATRGGGTTGTTGTGATCCAAATGCAGGACTTGGCACTTGGCCTTGAATATCATATCTCTGGACTTGGCCCATTGATGCAGAATGCACAGAAGAAGTAAAAACCAATTAGTTGAACACAAGTGCATGACGTAAGTCACAAAGTTGTGTTTTCACTCTAGCATACTCAACTTTATTAATTTCAGACATGYCTTTGCTGTATCAATAGTCCCATTCTAATAATAAATAACAGTAAAAGAATCCAGCACCACAAGAATAGTATAATTTTTGTATCAGATTTATAGTACTTAAAATGCTGTACTATTCTATATAAAATGACAAAAACTAATGCGTACCAAGTATGTTGGAAATACAGAAGTCTAAATGAGGTAGAACAAATGTGCACTTTTGATCTTTATGATACTGTAGTTACAAGAATATATGAGTCACTTGACTAAAATAAAATAGACCATGKCTGATCTGCTGGTAAAAAAAGCTGGACAAAAACTGACATAACAAATAATGAGATRGGTCGAAGTTATAATGCAGGAAACATCTCTTAACATTGTTTGAAATAACACTGGACACATGCAAAATTTAAGTATAGGAAAATATTAGGGATTGCATTTGGCTATAAACTTTTGCTCTAGGCTGAAACATGGCATAGAAAGYTTTAGCACAGCATGWTCATTCTTTTRTAATTACTYAATTCAATTTAAATTACTCTCAAAACAAAACAACTTTCCTCAGAAACTTTCATGTACTTAAATTCCTTCCTATTACTTAAATGTCAGTCTTYTTTTCTTCTATAAAACAATAAATTCTGCATGTGCTTTCCTAAACTTTTCAGTCCTATGTAAAAAACATCGCCTATTAAAGAGATTTTTTATTCTGTATCTTACTAGATTTTATCTTTCTTAAAGAGAAAAATGTGCAATCAAAAGTTCTGAAGTCACAATTTCTAAACGTCTTTGACTAGTCAATGTGAGGCCAAACTGTATCTAAGGAAACTGATACTGATTAAAAGCAATAGAAATCTATTGGAAAGAAAATAGGAAATAATAATAGGAAACTATTACATCTTGCACTGGCAGAACGAAAATAATGAAGTGTATCTCCCCTAGACCCCTAATGACATGTAWCAGCACCCTCCATGGGCTCCCAGAGGACACCAGAGCTGCTGGGGGATGATAAATATCTGCTCCCMGAGCAAGGGCTAGCAGCAGTTACTRAGACAGGATGCTGTTTCTTATAGAATCCCAGGACGCAGCCCCCAACAAAATTTATACATTGAGAAACTGATGGAAACTGAGACTCGCAGAAAGAATTTTCAGATTAATCTGTGTAAGATRATTAGAATAATTAAAATTCACAAAAGAACTGTTGGGGGGGGTGGGGGGCAAGAGCTGCCATAGCTTTAAACAGTTAAATTGTAATAGTCATTGCAAAGAAAATCCAATATAATCATGAAGCATCATATTAATTTCATCAAAAATATAGGGTAACATAAACCTGCATGGCTGATACCACTTCCCTTTCTTTCCTTACTTTTTTCTGTCAATCCATTGCCCTCGAGAGCAGGAAATCTGCTAATACATGGTGTAACCCTATTTCTATCTTGACATAATTTTTGACCTTTGAGCATTACTCCAACATATTTCAACCGGTTTCAGCTGTGCTATAAAATCAACAATATCAACATTAAGAATGACCTCCCTTGTAAGCAAAKTTCTATGAGTGGAACAATTGGATCAATACAAAAGATCCATTGTTTTCCTACTGGCATAATAATTTAATAGTAAGGAGCCCTTATCTTTTCATTGAGACTGAAATTCATTCTTGTTTAGACTAGCGTCTAAACTTGGCACATTGCACATATGCTATGGAAATTCCTTTTAAGCCCTRTGAAGGATTTAGCACTTTAGAGGGATGTAGGCAATTCATAAGCCTCTGAAATTCACTTTAGAAACTTTAGACGTGCTCTGTGGCACCAGTGTTGAGACTCATTGAGTTACTGCTGCACARTAGAATGTGAGAAACCACTCAGCCAAGGAAGAGATGGCTTCAAACTGCAGAGAAGATATAGAGGAGGCACATCATAATTTTTTTGTGGCAAAATGCAGTAAATCTGGTTTGCGGAACCTAAAGCATGGTCAGAGACTTTGCTACCATATGATTCCTTGTGTTCATTTCCTATAGTTTCAAAAAGTGTTTGAATCTGTTAAAAATCTTTTTAAAAGTTTAAATGTGTATTGCTTGAGTGTGTGCCAGTTCTGGTGATGTGTGTGACATTTTATCTAAGCCTTCTCTGTTCACATGGTGTTGCAGAGCATAAGACATGTTAATGATTTCAGAAATGTGTCCAACAGAAATTAAATGTCTGCAATCCAAGTTTGCTATTGGTCACTATAACTATTTTATTTTTAATTTTTTWAATTATTTTTAAGCAAATACATAGAAAAGTTAAAAGAAAAAACTGCAATTTAAATAACATAGCCACCTAAAATAGCAGATCAAGAAAATAAAATTTATTTCCCAAAGAACTGTCCTATATATTGCATCATGAAATTAAAGAGGAAAACGCATCTGTCTGGGAAGAATAATCAAAGGAGTAAGTGTCATAGAAATAATTAGCCCACAGTCCACCTGGGGCTACTAAGAAATACGCTACTGACTTACAAAATGAAATTCTTTTCAATATCTCTATTGTAATGCRAGGAAGAAGGGAAAGGCCATTGAAATACCTGAGAATTGTGGGAAACATCTTGTTAATTACAGTATGTTATTAACTGCGTATGTACGTAAATTAGATATGGTCTTTGTGCTCACAGAACAGAAATGAAGTGGTGCAGTTATAAACAAATAGCCATCAGATWATCAGAGGGCATTTTTCTTCTGAGAATTATTTTCACTAAGAAAGAAACCATATCTGACTTTAGCTGTGACTTTAAATGATCTTTAAGAAGCACCGGCTTTTGGGTATTTTTCCCTAAAATATTTATTTTAGAACTGAAATCAGTTTCAGTATCTGCCAAAAATGTTTAATAAGCTGCAAGATAGGAAAATATAGTATTAAAATAGCAAAAAGTTTTGATTCCTTGCAGTTACTTCTCTTTTTCCAAATCTAATTGGGACCAACTGGCCTCATTGCTTCTTATAAACTTAGCAATATATATTCAGAAAAAGGAATAAAAATGAACAGATGTTTCTCCTTAAAGAAGTCAGACAAASATTTTTCTTACACAATAAATCAGCTGCTAGTGGATTTCCAGGACACTGCTCCAGGCTAACTGTTTAGGTATGGCTTAAAAACCTGGTTTACCTCTGTATGTATCCAAAACTGGTAAAGCAGATTAAACTGCAAATGAACAGCAAACACCGAAGGGGGAATGAAAAGAGCCATGGGCAAGTTGAACATCTGAAAAATGATAAAGAAAACATACATTAGATATATMATTCTAAACTCGTGATGATATAATGAAATATTATCTCAGGAGCACAATGCACTGCRCAGTATACTTGCTTCTTCTAATGCATCCAAAATGCAGACATCACATAGCATACAGAGATAGTGATTATCATGTTACTACTTGATAAGCTAGAGCAAATGAGACATAAATTGATCCAAAAAGTGATTTTCCAAAAGCCATACTGAGTAAGTAGAAAATTCAAGAAAAGAATTCATAAATCCTGATATTAGATGCTGTGTAGTATATAGAGCAGACAGCAACATATTTTTGACATGAAGGGCTCACATACAGGGAAGAATTATCACAGATTAAGCAAGGTGTGACTTTGTAAAACTACAGCCTTTCCCTTCAAACTCCTTATGTAAGCACCATGAGGGCAAGGCAGCTTACTTGGCTTTMCAAGTTAATTTTCATTTTCACCATAACTTGCTCATGGCATTTCCCATAAAGTCCCAATATATTACTGAGTCCTAAAAATATGCTAGCGTGAAAAAAGTATCAGAAAACTGCTTACTTGGGAAACCCTAGTATCTTGGACACAGAATAAAGTACTAGGAATTTCACAATTAATTGCTTAACTGGCTGRGCAATAGAATGAAAATTCCAAGACCTTCTTACGTTAAAAGTCAGTCTGCTTTCTTCAGAAAAAGGCTTATCTTTTCCCTTTCACCTGATACTGTATTATATCACCTGCACTGAAAAGTTAATACTTCTCTAAAATAGAGATTTTTTTTTTCTAAACCAAATAGTACCAGAGGTACAACAAAACTTTACACCTCTTTAGCACTCAGRGAATATCTGTGAAGCAGACAAGAGCTCCCCATGAAGCACAGGAAAACTAGCAAAATCCATTTCCAAATTACTACTGTCCTTTTCAAAAAATTTAAATCTTTGAACATCCCAGAAAGCTGTCTGATAGCCATGACAGGCCTCCTAGACTAGGAATTCCTTCAGTGTAGGCCTGGACAGAGCATTTAAAGCCAGTATTCTCTCAGTTTTAGTCAGAATGCCTGCCCAATAGATTAGAAGTCACACYGGGGCTGTGAAACAACTCTACCTCCACCCCAGCGATGTGACTGATGCTCTCAAGAAAGTCACCACAGACAGATCTCACTGTGACAAGCCAAAGGAGGACTAGGACCCTGCAATCTCAGCTTAGTCTGCTGGCTTCAACACCAGACAACGTCTGAAACACTAGGACAAAACCCTGAAGCCATTGCAGTATCACCTGGCAGGGCTGGGACAGCTGGGATTTCAAAATCTAAACTCAAAGGCACCAAAGATCACAGCTGCCCCACAAATTACATGTAGGGTGTTCCTGTTTCTGTCTCGGAACTTGCCTTCCAAGAATTAAAGGAATTAAAAGGTAGCAGAAGAGTACTGAGTTTCTGTCTAATGGCATGATAACAGGAGGCTTTTTTCTTGAAGGAATGGAGAGGAAATTGATTAAAAAAAACCAAAAAACCAAAAAACAAAAACCAAACCAGATGGTTTTCAGATTATTCATGGAAGTGGTTACAGGATTGAAAGCAGGATTAAAAAAATTATAYGCTTTTTCCCTAAAAGTATCAGAGGCAATTTGGTGGTATTTACAGATGACTCAAAGAGGAAAGAAGGATCATCTTCATATTTATTTCCTAACCTACTTTTCACAAGAGTACTAGAATTTCCCTGCTAAGTGGTGGGATGAAGGAAATTTTATATAAATCTAAAGGTAAATTTGAGACTGTCAAAGGAGAAGCTTTACTAACTGCCTCAGGTTTTCTTGCAATGTAAGCTTTATTTTGCACAGAAAAGATGTTAAAGATCATTTACAGTAGTGAAACACACACAGAAATGAAAACTTCCATACCAAGATTTGACTTTTCCTRTTTGTGGTTACACTGAAACAAGAAGACCAAACTCAAGGAAAAAAAAGAAAAATCATTAAATAGTTCTTCACTGGAAATGCTGATTTACCAAATAAAACCATTTCATGGCAGTGTACCAGCTTTCACAAATTTGTAGAGGAAAAGCTTTCCTGGCTCCAGAATGGAMTTTCTGGTCAAAACTGCAAAAAACCTTTTATCACACTGACAGATCTTTTCTCACTTGCGAATTCAGCATCAGGGATTGAGAAAGTGCTACAATAGCTGATGGGAAAAGCACCCAGAGGGGGGGTTGGAGAGGCATTTGCATGTGGGGCTGCCACATTGCAGCTGTTGCAGCATTGCCCCTTTGGAATGTCCACTGCCCACTCTCCCATGAGGGCATCTCTATCTTCCTCCCTCCCATYTGTAAGTAAAAGCTCATAAATGTTTCCACTACAGAAGGGAGCGCACTGTGACTCCTGAGGTTTAGCAGGAGCGATGTTTCCGTGCTGGGTCTCTGGGGCCACCTGCCGATGCGACCACGGAGGGTCTGAGGGACGTGGGGGCTGCAGGACAGTGCCAAAAGCTGCTTCGTGTGGGCATGAACTTGTGTGAGGATTCTGGAGTTCAAGGCAAGGATAAAAAAAAAAAAAAATTAAAAAAAACCATCCCATTTTTTACAAATTATCCCAAACTCCTCAGTACTTGTCCTCACTCCAGACAAGTGACTGACTCTGCTGAAAACTGTGTTACTTATCCTGTTTCCAGACTTATATGTAGATRTTTCCACTGTTTTTATATCAAGGCATAATTCAACCATTTATCTAAATGTACAGTCTAAAGCTATCAAATTATTATGGGTCTAATATTTGCAATTAAATCTTACCCTTGGAGGAAAGTTGAGAATGGGGCTCTAAGCATTAAATCATAGCTTTTCAAGGTGTATGTGCAAATCTCTCACAACTGCACTTTGACTGTTTCGTCACTTATATATTAATTTATATAGCATTATTTTGCATTAGCTTGCTGTTTTCTTCTGAAAAATTAGCATACATTTTTTTCTACATCTTTTTTCCCACCAAATGGGCCTCAACCCTATCTCTCAGTCTTCACAGTAGACTTGCTTTCTCTATGACCCCTCGAGTGGAGAAACAGAAATGCTGTGTATGCAAACAACATGAAGCGCTATGCATTTGGTTCCAAAATCCGGAGTGCATCTCACAACACTGATGGCCAAGCATGCTTTTCTATTCTCTTTCATTTCATATCTTTTCCATCACAGATTAACAGCCTGATTTATTTATCTTACAATGTTTAACTTAAAACACAACAGAGCTGGCAGCAGAACAGTCCCATAATCCCACGCCATCCACCACAAGTTTCTCACAGTCTGCATAAAACTGGATGTCAAATTGCATTCAACAGTACAGGACACATTCAACATCAGATCACTCTCAGAGGTTAACTAATGATTTCGCTGAGTTTCAGCTTCAAGGCAGACACATCCATGATTCTGGATAAGTCTGACAGTCAAAGAAAATAGAAGTTCTGTAAGAATTAGCAAGAATTGTGATCATGCACAGTAAGGCAYTGCAGAAAGAAAACTGCTGTACGTCTGAAAAGTTCAGGGAGGAGGCAAAACAGTATTTACATTAACCATATGTTTTGGCTAATACCAAATATTTGGTGAAAAAACCTGGCACACAGAAGTACCATGTACTCGCAGATTCATTACCCTTTGCACAAAGCAAATGAATTTTAAATGCACATGTATTATTTGCAAAGTGATACCAGTGTGGTCCTGAGAACGGTCTTTGGAATCCAAGGTGGGCAGACATCTTGGTCTTCCAAATATTTTATGCTCTCTGAGGTATCATCCTCAAAATCATGCCAGCAAAGTGCTCATGCACACACCCACATGTACACACAGGCTTTTTGTCTTTTTTGAATTATTGGTTTTGTTAAGCATTTGCACATATGGTCCCAAGGGGTAAATGGGCAAAGGTTAAATCTTTAACATAGCAGTATTTASAGAGGAAGCAGAGCTGTCACAGACAGACATCCCTTCTGCTATTGTTCATTACAGTCATTTAAATTCTAGGCAACCTTACTAACATCAGATGGTTATTTTCTTAATAAATAAGCAACATGAATTTATATAGATGACATTAAGAAAAAGATCTGAGAAATAGTACTGCTTCATGATTTTCAGAAAAAAATTTCCTTGGAACCTAGCACTTTAAGAAATTTAATGTCATGGACTTAAAACAGTTATGAACTAGAGGCTAAGTCCTTGTTCAGTTACACAAGCATAAATCCAGAGTAACTTTAACAAAGTTAATGGAGTTATACTAGATTTGCATGTGTGAGCTTACTCTCTTGATTTTGTCATTTGCTCACAGGCTGGATGTAGAGATTGCCAGAGGACTGTGGGTTTCCTTCCTTACCACCCATATTACATCTCATTGGTGAATATATATAATAATATATATATATAGATTGAATGTATGTATTTACATATACAAATAACTTTAATATTCCTTTTGAACTTTAATTCAGAAAAGGAAATTTTGAAGTTATTCTTTTTAAATAATATACAACCAGTCACAATCTGAGTGAAAAAAGGAGTCAAAAGAGAACATGTGTGTTCAACTGAGGCAATCAGCAGCTATTCTGCTGCAGAACTAAACCCTAAATGTTATGTTACATTTATGAATGCATTTAGAAATACAGTTTTTAAAATCTGTATATAAATACTGCATATGTACACAGCTCACCATTTCAAATTAATTTTACCTGAAATAACATCAGGCAACATACTGCCCTTACCTACTAATAGTACTGACATGGCATGAAGGAGCAGAGACAAATAAATACATTTGCACGTCCAAAGCAATTTTTAATGATGATTTCTCTTCCTGCTCCTTTTAGTTATACAGACATATTCTGAAATAGTTGAATTACACTCTGCTCTTTTTCTTTTCTTATATAACTGAATGAAAAAATTCTCCAATCTATTTGAAAASTTATGAAAACATAAATGCAGGGTTATATAGTTAGCCTTCTTTAACTTTAGTAGCTATTTTTGTATTTGCTGTACAACATTAGTGAACATATTTTAAAACTTAAGATTCTCAGATTCTTCAGTTTCGTCTTCTGCACCCTCAGTGTCAAACATCTTTTTAAAAAAATATATTTTTCTTCAAAGGGAAATAAATACTATGTTTTCACTTTTACTGAACCTTGTTGATATTAGTTTGTCAAATCTTGTGCAACTTACCCAGGAGGTGTATTTCTGCAGTACAGATTGTCTCAAGGCTGTGAATAAATTGTAATCTTCTGAACTATGGTGTACTTGGTGTGCAGCCCACAGTATATTAACCTCTGCAAAACACATAATTTTTAATGAGCTTTGTACTAGAAAAGCAACATTTGTTTCCCAAGGCCTTTTTTCATAAGCTAAAATCTTTCAACCCCCCAATTTACACTTTCTTATTTTACATTAACATAAAACAATAAAAACATGCTCAAAGCTGAGTTTATGTAGGGTGGGTTACATGTCTGTCAGCGGATACAACTCAGGTCAGTATAAATTTCATGCCGAAGTAAGGCGAGGCTTCAGCAGGAACCAAAATCATTGCTGGAAGAGGAGAAGGATGTGTGAGATGAGGATTAAACATCCAGAAAACCTCATCTGAGTCCTGGTAACACAACTCAGTAGGAGCCCTGTACAGGATTCAGAGGGACAAAGACTGAGGATGCTCTCATGCTCACACTTGGCATATTTAAAGGCTAGAAGGGGACACAAAATGTTCCAAAAACCTTATGCATCAATTTTAAGCAAATAACTTCACTGGTGTCAGCTTTTATGCTTATGTTTTTCTGGAATGCGTGAATCTTCAACCCACTTATGCCACAGACCACAAAACACAGCCATTGCCTGCCCACTAGAGACAAATGGAAAAACAAATGGATGCTTGCTAGGAGAGCGGTGGCTCTATTGTTACAGTTAAAAAAAAACCAAACATGCTGGAATAAGGGCAAAACCTGTGTCAGCCACATCTTCTGAAGGTATGACACTTCTAATGTACTAAAATGAAGAATACTATAAAATCCTGATTATACTTCAAGGCATTTTCTCACTCAAGTGTAGAGCTGGGTGCCCTGTCTGCACTGTACCTGGACAGTCTGAAGTGGGATGTTAAGATAGAAATATTCATGGCCATCAGATCCATAGCTATAAAGATTACTTCAATTACAAGAAAAATGGGAAAAGTAGTCAATGCAGCACAAATTATGCCTATTTATCATAATCCTTAATTTAAGGTCTCATTCCATAGGAAATATACACAAAGCCTCATCTGATTACAGAAATTAAAAGTTGACTGGCTGTCTGCCAGCTGCTCATTCCCATTGCCACTGACTTGTTCCATCAGAGGCATTAGAGAGGTGCCTTTGGCAGGTATTAGAATCACATTCAGAGAAGGATTTTATAATGTCTGTCTAAAGTCCTGTAGTTATCTGCAGCCAAGTTAACATCAAATAGTTTAGATCTGATGATTAACATGTACTTGCAATGTAAAGTAATGCAAAAAAAAAAAATCCTCTTAGTGAATCTGAAGGTATCTTCACCATTTCAGGAGACCAGATAGTCTTGTAACAGAAGGTAACAGCCTTGTACACTAGAAACTGAGACTTTTAAATCTAATTAATTTCGGCACTTTGGTAATTAACATTACAAAATCACTTTTGAATGACCTCTAAGGCCTTAAAAATACTTCAAATTGCTGAAATAAATCTGTAATTTCAATTACCCAAACCACTTAACACTGAGTCTAAGAATTCTTTCTTTAAACACATTTGTTGCTGAAGGAACAAGTGTTCATTCTATCAAGTATTAGTGATGTCTCCCAAAAAAATAAAGGAAAAAACCTCATCTCAATGCATCTCTGCCTAATAAACACACTAGGAAATGAATTATTCAGCTGAGCTTCAGTATTCAATAATAATTTGTATTTGAAATGTTTCTCAAGACCTCGACAGAAGCTAAATGAGTGAACAAAGCATCTGAAAAGGTGGAGGTTAAAGACCTGTCTCCTTAGTTGTTTTAAAAGCATTTACTTCCTATCACAAACTGTGTGTAACACAAGCCTCCACTCAATGAAGTACAGCTGTGCAAACAAGGTACAGTAACTGGATCTTTCTTCTTTCCCTCAGTCATTTTTCAGCATTATGAAAAGTTCAAGGAAGGGAATCTATGATGATTTTTACAGTCTACTTTCATTGTAGTTAAGGTCAAATGGTTTTCAAAATGAATTACTAAAAAGGCATTTTATTAGGATTCCTTTTTCAGTTAAACTGCCTCTTACACTAACAAGTGTATGGAATAAGGTAACCAAATATCAGTAAAATGCTAATCTTTCAGATGTGCAAGTCGGCTTAAATGATCTATCATTCAAAAATGCACCACAGGAATATTAGGGAGATAAACAAACAATTTTTCCTCAAGTAATTTAACTGCTACAGCTATTTCTGACTTCTGTTACAGCTAAGTAAATTAAATTCTGCTCCTTAATCCTATTGATTACACCAATGGCATAGACTGTTAAATCCCTTTGAAAAATAGGCAGACTTGATTGGAAAAAAGGTCTGTATTAAAAATTTGTCTGAAGGAACTGAAAATCAATAACTTTGTATTTGAAGCAGAAGAATAACATGAATTTGTGAAACAGATCACCCCAAAACTCAGCCTGTAAGCATTAATACATTAAAAATATCACAGCCATAATGCCTCAAAGACATCTCTCAAATCTAAGAAACAGACCAAGCATGCTTCAAGGAATAAAGCTGACTGCTCACCAGCTACCCTTAACAGAAATTAAATTCTGTTAAATTGTATCTACAGAAGACTTGTCGTTTCATTTTTGCTTTCCTAATGATGATAACTTGAAAGAAAATGAGAAAACTTATTTGAATGATAAAATTATACAGGACTCTCTGATATGCACTTTCTCATATGTATTATTACATAATGACCAATAAAAAGACTAAGGCTGAGATACAGCCAATTCCAACAAAGATGTTTTAAAAAGTTTATGTAGAAAACAGGARGTATTACTACATTTTCTAGAATTACCAAATTCTACTGTGAAGCCACAGAAAAGAAGTAGGCGATGGAATTGGAGAAGCCACCAAGACAATGCTCTAATGGAATTTTTGATGTTTCATAATTCAAATGTGATTGTTAAATACAATTTTAAAAATAGATAACTGCAATATGCTTATGCACAAATGCCCTATTTTTGATTCAGGAGAATCACAGAATCATAGAATTATAGAATCCTCCTAGAATCATATGATAATTCAGGCAGGAGAGAACCACCAAAGGTCTCTAGTCCAAACTCCTACTCACAGAAGGACAAGCTTACAGTTTTTGAGACGCAACTGGGTCTTGGAAAACTTCTGTATCTTCTGCTATTATGAATAACTACATCTAACTGAAGATAAATGTAGCATTTCCTTTTCAGGTAGTTGTGGGAAAGTTTTACAAGTTATAATCCAGTGCAGCAATTACCTCCTTTCCTGTTGTGGCTTTCCCCAGGTTCCTACTAATGGATGGATACCTGATGAGCTATTCTCATCTGGGGAAGAACATTTGCTACTGCTACTGGAGTTAATTATTGTTTAATACATTATTATTATTATTATTATTATTATTATTATTATTATTATGTAGCAGTAGTAGTAGTAGTAGCAGTAGTAGTAGTAGTAGTACTAGTAGTTGTTGTTTTGTTGTTGTTCTTATTACTACTTCATCCATCACCCAATTTAAAGAATCAGCATGCAATCCCAACAGAGAATAAATTAAGCCATGTAGCTAGGGGAGGAAGGAAAATAAAATTGGTGCTACACAGAAATTGCTGAATGAAGGAGTTTATGATTTGGCCCTCAGTTTTCACTCTAGCTCATTAAGTCTCTGTGAAGTTATCTCAGAATCAAACCTGCACTTCCTAAAATCAGTGGGCTCAAGGCAGCTGAGATATTTGTATCCTAAAACTAATTCCAAAAGAAAATGACAATTTGTCATTTTAGCATTAGTTCAATGTATAAATTCTGTTATACAGAAGAAACAAAATTTGGAGCTGGGGGAACTGGCCTGTAGAAGCAGAGGCTTTGGGGGAGCTTAACAGTAGCATTAATAACAACAATGAAGCACTGGCTAACAAGAAGCTTGAGCCAGGCTTTTTTCACCCATATTGATGTTATCCATCTTCTGCACTTCTTCCTTCCCTCCTCCTCCTAATTAATTCATGAAATGTAATGTTTCACACACTTTCACAATCATATCAGTAAGGCAACCAATGATTTCACTTAGCTTTTTTTAAATTTAAAATTTTTTCATTGCTAATCAAGTCCCTTTTCTGTGAATTCCTATGAGAGATGCAATGACTGGGCCGTATTTCACTACTTCTGAAGTATTTCTTTTGTGGTAGTAGAAAAGGGTCATTGTGCATATAAGGTTCCTCTTTAAGAATATATAATACAGAGAAGCCGAAATGAGATTTTTTCATTGTCTATTTCTGTAATTTTAAGTAATGAACACAGCCCAACACATCATGATTAACAACAGGAGAAAACATGTATGCCAAAAAAACCCTGTAGTCATTTAAAGGAGTGATTTCACTGAAAACAGCCAATTTATGAAATCCTCAGAATCAGAAATGGTAAAGGTTTGATGAATCTTCAGTAAATAAAAAAGATTAAAGATGACCTTTTAGTTAAAATATGCTTACAGCTTTGTAAGATCTGGATCTAAAGTAACATTGTCTGTCCTGGCTGCCAGGGCACTGCTGACTCTTTGCCAACTTGTAATCAACCAGGACTCCCAGGTCCTGTTCCTTGAATCTGCCCTCCAGCATCTCATTCCCCAGTCTGTCTGTACATCCAGGGTTGTTCTGGTCCAGGTACAGAATCTGGCACTTGTCTTTGTTAAACTTCCTACAGCTGGTGACCGCCCAGACCTTTAACTTGAGGAGATCTCTCTGCAGGGTCTCTGCCCTCAGGGAAGTCAGCAGCTCCTCCCAATTTAGTGTTCAATTGATGTTGCTTAAAAATTTCAATAAATCCCTTCTCCTGCAGAGCTTTTTTCACAGAATCTCATTCCCTGCTGAATCCCACACTTGTATTGGATGAGCAACCCCTATGATATAGTAACAATTAAATTTTGTTACTGGAAAGGAAAATTACCAGACTTTTTTAATAAAACTTGGCTAAAAACCTGTATTTTGGGACCTCTTTGGAATCCATCATACATTAAAACCAGAAAACTAACAGATTAGTTATCATCTCCACAACAGAAGTAGATAAGAACTGTGTGCAACTCT